AGCTTTCACAATCAGTATTAAGTCTCCGTGTTGTTTTTGTGAGCAGGCGGTCCCCACAAGAAAGCCCGGCTGCTCTTGGTGATAGATTGACGGCCAGAGACAGCTGCTCATGGCCTTACGTCCAGGGTAGGGATGAAGAGCTGGGGCTGGAGCTCAGCGGTAGAGCCCTTTGCCTCCAGGTTCAAGCCCAGTAACACCAGAAGCAAGCAAGCAAACAGGCAAAAACCAGTGGTGGCTGTCGAAGCCGTCTGAGATTCCTGCGACAGGTGCCACGGGTCATAAAAAGCACACGGGGTTAGGACCGGTAAGCTGGCTAGTGGGTACGGGGGTGCCTGTGTCCATGTCTGATTGAGTTTCAACCCCAGAGACCCACCTGGTAGGGGAGAACCTACTCCCCAAGTTCTTCTCTGACTTCCATATGTATGCAGTGGTATGTACACTGACATACATACACGCAAAATAAATAAATGGAAAAGAAAGAAAATGCATGGTATTTCTCTTAGGGGCAAAATAATATTGTGGCTCATTTATGCTCTTCATGACGGTCAAACGCTAACTTTCAACAAGATGTTAATGAAGGTAAGAATATATTTTTCCCCATTCAAGATCAAGAACTCCTGAATTTATACAGATAGGTGCTTTTGAGGGTGGACCCAGATTAGATGGTTGTGCCAATGCCTCAGAACCCTGTCTAACTCAGAGAAAATTCTGGATGAATGGCAGCTCTCAAGACAAAAACTGGCTTGGGCGGCCTACAGTTCAGTTGGTAGAGTGCTTGCCTGCATGTCCAAGGCCATGAGTTTAATCCCCAGCATTGACAATCGTGTGAAAAATACTACACTTCCATATCACGATGTCCAGAAGTCCATTTCCTGGTTCCCAGGCTGGGATGCAATAAGGTGCTTTGCATATCTTATAACTGACTAACCAGGCAGATATTTGGTAAGCCCGGTGGTAATGGTGTGGGTTTCTGCAGAGGTGGGTGAACTTGAAAATGCCCGGGAAGCGTGGCCACTGGAGTTAATATTTTTCTTACTGATCTTTGACCTCCAGGTGTCAAAGGAGACCTGTGAGTGAGTTGGTGGCTGTACTTTCAGAAAACCAGCTTTGTGGGCAGCAGTGCCCGTAGTTTAGATGCATAGATGCAATTTCTCATTTGCAAGAGAGGAGGCTGTTCATAAATAAAACTGTGGTGAAGTCCATGGTGGGGGGTGCTGGGACTTGGCCGGTTCTCAACTGTTAGTGAGGAGAAACAATTTTGAAAATGTGAGTTTTCCCAGTTGGAAAAAAATGAAATTTGAGCTCATTTATAAAGACCCCAGTGAGACTGCCTTCTCTAAGAATATTCCAGAAGTGGGTGTGTGTGTAGATGTGTTTAAAGATGTGTGCTAAGGCATGTGATTATTTCTGTAGGTGTGTGTGTGTATGGAATGGGGTTTATGTTGTCAAAAGGGAAGAGAATTTGTTTTCTAATTCCTTCTCTATGTTATTTAAAAATTTTAAAAATTCTATCTATTTATGTACTTGTGTGAGTATGTGTGTATAAGAAGCAAATGTACCATGGCACCTGTACAAAGGTCAGAGGGCAGCTTGTAAGAACTGATCTCTCCTTCCTCCATCAAGGTCCTAGGGATTGAACTCAAGTAGTCAGGTTTGGTGGCAGGTGTCTTTAGACTCTGAGTCATCTCGCAGCCCCTTCTTCTCTTTAGAAAGTTTAAACAAGAGCCTCAGGGGTCCTTGCAAGCTCTTTTATGGTGAGTGAGTTGTGTACCAAAGATGTTTGACCTGGTCTTGGCATTCCTGTGTGGAGCTCTCTGAAGCGGGTGCTTCCAGGGTCCCTGCGAAGGTTTAGTCAGCTGTGTGTCCCAATCTTGGTGCTTTTGTTTGGTGCAACGAGAACCTTCCACCTGTGTGTGAACAGGGCCTGTGGATAACAAGTTTTTGAGAACTACACTGAGGTCCAGGCTCCATCCCTGTCTTCTCAGGTGGCGCAGAATAAACCCAGGCAGTGTGGGATTCAAGAGTAAGCGGTCACCAGAGTTGACTTAAGGAAATGGTCTAAATGAAGAAAGATAAACACCAACAAAGAAAGCAGAGTCTCGAAGATGGGTCCAAGAGTGTTCCTTGAACCCTGCGCAGTTTTCTGTGTGTTTTGAAAATTTTCATAACAGAATAGGGAAAGGGGCCAGTAAAATGGCTGGGTGTATAGAGATGCTTGCACCAGCCCTGCTGACTCATTAGAGATTAGATCCCTGGGGCACACATGGTGGAGAGAATTGATGCCTGTAGGTCGTCCTCTGACCTACACGAACCGTGTGTGTGTGTGTGTGTGTGTGTGTGTGTGTGTGTGTAAGAGTGTGTGTGTGTGTCTGAGAGTATGTGTATGAGAGAGTAAGTGTGAGAGTGTGTGTGTAAGAGGAAAGTGTGTGTGAGAAGTGTGTGTAAGAGAGAGTGTGAAAGAGTGTGTGTGTGTGAGAGTTTGTGTGTGTGAGAGAGTGTGTGTGTCTGTGTGAGAAAGTGTGTGTGTGTGTCTGTGTGAGAGAGTGTATGTGTGTCTGTGTGTGTGTGAGAAAGAGTGTGTGTGTGTATGAGAGAGAGTCTTTTTAAAATGTAAGTAAATTGAGCTCTAGCTAAAAAAAATTTCCCCAAATCCCCAGATTCCGAGACAGCTGACATAATTCCCTACTAGTCTAATTAAAATAGTTAAACATGATAAATGCAGCGAGGCCCAGGGCTGCAGACCCAGGGCTGCAGGCCCCCAGCCACACAGAAGGCTGAGGCAGGAAGACTGAAAACTGAAGGCCAGCAGGGCTGCAGAGCGAGTTCAAATCCACGCAGGACCCGCAGGGTTGCAGAGTGAGTTCAAAGCCACGCAGGACCCTTCTCAACACACAGACAGCAGGACAGGGGTCCAGCTCAGTCACTGGCTTAGCACACATGAAGCTCTAGGTTCAACTCCACATCCTGAGCGGGAGGGAGCCCTGCTGGAGTTCAAACCCTGGTCCTCATGCTTCAGGAAAGCAGGCTCTAACTGCTGAGCCAGCTCTCAAGTCCCTTCTCTCCTTCTTTTCCTTCTTTTGGTTTTTTGAGACAGGGTTTCTCTTTGTAGCCCTGGTTGTCCTGGAACTTGCTCTGTAGACTTAGAGATTCACCTGACTCTGCTTTCCCAAGGCATGTACCCCTACACCCAATTAAAAATTTTTTTCTCTTTGAGAAAAGGTCTCATGTGGTCCAGGCTAGCCTTACACACACTGGGTAGCTGGAGGTATTTTTTTTCTTAATTTCAAATGTTTGTTTTTTGTATATAAATTTTGCCTGCATATATGTGTTCCTCAGGTCCTCTGGAACTGGAATTCTAGACAGTTCTGATCTGCCATGTGGATGCTGGGAATTGAACCAAGCAGGCAGTGCTCTTAACCGCTGAAGCCACCTCTCTGGCCTGAGGGTGATCTTGAATTCCTAATCCTCCAGCTTCAGCCTTCCAAGTGTTAGGATTATAGGCCAGTGCTGCTAGGTTCCAGCCTTGACTTTTTTTTTTTTTTTAAAGATTTATTTACTTAAGTATACAGTGTACATCAGACTTCATTACAGACGGTTGTGAGCTACCATGTGGTTGCTGGGAATTGAACTCAGGTCCTCTGAAAGAGCAGCCAGTGCTCTTAACCACTGAGCCATCTCTCCAGCCCTCCAGCCTTGACTTTTAACAATGGTTTATCAGGCTGGGTGGCTCAGTTGTACAGCACTTACTGAGTTCGAGTGAGGTCATGGGTTCTATCCGCACCACTGGGAATAGCACACACACACACACACACACACACACACACACACACACAGAGAGAGAGAGAGAGAGAGAGAGAGAGAGAGAGAGAGAGAGAGAATATCTACAGATAAAATATAACAGCTAAAAATCAGGAGTTTTGGGAGTTGAACCCAGGTTTGGTTCCTGGAAGAGTAGCCAGTGCTCTTAGCCACTGAACCATCTCCCCAGTCCATTAAAATATTCTTGTCCAGGTGGTGGTGACACACGCCTTTAATCTCAGCACTTGGGAGGCAGAGGCAAGCAGATCTCCAATTTTGAGGCCAGCTTGGTCTACACAGTGTGTTCTAGGACAGCCAGGGTTGCTCAGAGAAACTCTGTGTCAACAAACAAACAAATAAACAAACAAAAAAGACACTATCTCCAAACAAAGTTCTTGATGACTCCATTTTGTTCCTCCCCTTTGCCCTCCCCTCCTCCTGTTTCTCCCCCTCCTTCTCGGTTTTCTCTTTTCTTTCTCCTTCTGTTCTTTTCTTTGGAACCCAAGGCTTCCATGCGGTAGGCAAGCTGTCTTCGGCTCAGCTGCACCCTTCAGCATATCTGATAATGATTTTTGTCAACTTGACACAAATTAGAGCCATCTGGGAAGAGGGGACGTCGGCTGAGGAGCTTCCTCCATCAGGTCGGCTTGTGGCTGTGTCTATGGGGACTTTTCTTTTCTTTTCTTTTCTTTTCTTTTCTTTTCTTTTCTTTTCTCTTTTGATTGATTGTTGATCAGTGTGGGCGAGTCCAGACCACAGTGGATGGCGCCTCCCCTAGACTGATGGTCCTTAGTTGTGTAGGAAAGCAAGCTAAGCAGTCGCAGAGGTAACGCCTGTAAGCCACACTCCTCCACAGCCCCTGCTTCAGTTCCTGCTCTGTGTCCCTTCAGTGGTGGACTCTAAGCATAAGATGTAATAAACCCTTTTCCTCCTAAGTTGCTTTTTGATTGCGGTGTTTTCTACAACAACCAAGAACAGCGCCCCATTATTTTGAGGTCTCAGAGCTAAAACAATTAATTGTCACCCCAGGAGGCACAAAGCAGTCGGGAGGTGTTAACACCTATTTGTCCATTCTGGCACCTGGCTGGTACTTTAGTGGCTCTTGGCAACCAAGGGAAGGGGACAGGCTGGTCTTTTACTTATGACCTAGGAGTGCCACCAGATAAACTCCTCCAGGGGAGGAGAAAGCCTCCAGGCTGAGGATGTGGGGCTCCGTGGCAGTTGTCTGGTAAGTGCCCTTACCCAGGCCTCCCAAGAGGGTCTTTTGGGAACTGAGAGACAATGGGAGCCCTGAGCTTCTATTATGCTGTTCGGAGCAGAAACCAATTGTTTGCTTCCGGAATCCAGAAGCTTCATGTCTTGAGAGAAAGAGGTGGGTGGATGAGGCTTGGTCAGCTCTGTAGCTGTCTCAGGACAGGGATGGAAAGAAGGTAGAAGCCAGTATTCCCAGTGAAGGTCTGGCCAGAGCCCCTGTCACCTTCACCATCCCTTGTCCCAGGGAGCGCTGTGTAGAATGCGCAAGCCTAGGCTCAGTCCCCAGTACCACTGAAGAACAGAACAAACCCACTCAGAACAGGAGGGGGGCCTCCACTGCCAGCTTGAAGGCCAACAGTAGCTGGCACTTGGCCCTGGGCTCCTTACTGCAGGGCTTTTGTGTGCTTTGTGATGTTTGTAGATCTGTGGACAAAGAGGGTGATGGATAAGCTGGGTGGGGTGGGCCAGCTGGAGGCCTGGGTCCTGTGCCAGGAACCACCCCCTTCTCATGGCTGTTCAGTGCGGAGCTCAGCTTTGGGACGTGAAGGGTCAGGTCAATCCCCATGCTGGGAAGGGAAAGTTCAGGATCCGTAAAAGCCACACTGGAATCTCGCTCCTAGTGGGGGCTGGAGGAGGAGATTGCGGAAGTGTAGGCTGAGCTGGCCCTGGCAAGGCGGATGTAATGCCCTTTCCTGTATAACAGCATGGGTGAGGAGAGGATGGCACCACGCACCAGCGCAGCAGCTTGTCTCTCCTTTCCCAGGTCTCCCGGCCGCTCCCGCAGATTCACCTGCTCTTGGGGAAGTCTTACGTTGGCTACAGGGCAGTAAACACCTCTGCTTTGCAAACTAATCCGTTGATGATAATGTCGCCCCCTGCTGGGAGCTAGGAGGAGACTTCAGCAGGGGTAGGCGATCCTGGGGCAGGGACGATGAGGGCACCTCTAGAGAGAGGGTCTTTCTCCGGCTTGGTTTTAGTTTGAGATGGGGTCTTGGTGTGTAGCTCAGGCGTGGCCTCAAGCTCCAGATGTTCTGGCCTCTGTTTCCAGAGTGCTGGGATTGCAGGGCTGTGCCACCATGCCTGGCTTTACTCTGGGTTTTGAACGCAGTGGATGGATGAAGAGCAGGCAATTGAATCTGGCAGGCCCAGCTCAGATTACAGGCTAGGGAAACAGGCTAGGTCAACGTTTCTCAACCTGTGATCCCTTTGGATCAAAGGACCCTTTCACCTAAGACCATCAGAAAACACGGATATTTACATTACAATTCATAACAGAAGCAAAATTACAGTCATGAAATGGCACCGATAATAATGTTATGGTCAGGGTTCACCACAACACGAGGAACTGTATTAAAGGGTCACAGCGTTAGGAAGGTTGAGAAGCACAGTCTAGCCCTTCTTTGCTACCTAGTCTGGAAGACTGAGGGCCTTGGCAATTGATCTAACTGGCACTCTAGCCTTGGCTCTCAGCTCACTTGATACCGAAGAACTAGAGGAGCCAGTGACAGCAGCCTTTGATGGACACCTACTGTCCTTTCTTATCTTGTTTTTGCCTCGAATATTTTATTTACTTACTTGTTTTCCATGCATACGAGTGTTTTACCTGCATGTCTGTAAGGGCGCCAAGTGCATGCAGTGCTCACAGGCCAACAAATTCCCTGGAACTGCTGCTACGTGGGTTACTGAGAACCAAACCCTGGTCCTCAGCAAGAGCAGTGAGTGCTCCTAACCACCAAGGCACCTCTCCAAGTCCCTTGTTTTTGAGACAGAATTTCTCCATGAATCTGGTCTGAAGCTCAGATTCTTCCTGCCATAGACTTTGAAGTGCTGGGATTTAGAGGCGTATGCAGGCACACTTGGATCAATTACTTAAAATATAACTTTAAACATATATGCCTATATAAACAATATACAAATAGGAATTCACATATTTTTTCCACTGGGGATCAAACCCAGGGGTTTGTACATGCTACACACTGTACCAACAAGCTACATCTGAAGCCCTCTACTTGAAAAAAAAATTAAGTCTCTGGCTGGGAACGTAAAGTAGCATTGTGCTGGTCTCATGTGTGCAAGGTCCTAAGATCTATTGCCCAACACTGAAGAAACCAAATTGAAATAGGAGTGCATTGCAGAGATTTTTGTTAAATGTTGTTTTCAGTACAAAAGAGAGGTCCCCAGAGCAGATACATACACAGGCAGTCCAGAATGTTGAAATGAGTTCTCTTAATGGATGCAAACTAGACCATAGCTACAGATCAGCAACCAGCGGCACCTAGACCGTAGCCACAGATCACAGATCAGCAACAAACTGCACTCCACCTGGGTATAATGTACTTTTTTTAAAAAAAAGACATTTTCTAATGTAGCCCAGGCTGGCCTTAAATGTGTCATGTGGAGGTGGAGGAGAATGATTTTGAATGCCGATCCTCCCGCCTCCACCTCCCAAGGGCTGGGGTTACAGGCATTCACGAGCAAGTCTGGTGTTCTGGAGTGCTGGGTTTTGATTCCAGGGTTCTGTGCAAGCCAGATAAAAACTCGACCAATGAAGCTATAACTCCAAACCTTGCTTCACACTTTTCTGGATCAGAAGAGTTTTCACAGTGTTCAGAACTCCATAGCTTCCAGTGATATCTCACAGAAAATGGAAGAGGCACACTATGGAGAACTCCCAGTTTTTTGCTGAAGAAGCGTAGTAACTTGGAGGGGTCCGTTCAGGAGCCATTTTCAATTTTTCCTTTACACTTGCTATTCTAGCACCCATATGACTAGAACGCACCCCCCTCCCACCCCCGCGACTTCCGATTTCCTCTCTAGAGGAGCCACTATCTGCACCACCGAATGCAACAACTAGGTCTATTTTTGACCTTTCTATAAATATAATCACAGGAGAGATAGATGCTCGCTCATGTCTGACGTCTTTCAGCGGAGCATGTATCGCGTGAGGCGTATTGCCTTTCCTTGTGCTCTGGTATCTCATAGAGTGAGCAGGTCCCAGTGCACCCGTTCCTGTGCTGAGAGGCATTTGGGTGGTTTCCAGTCGGAGGGAACATCCTTGCTCTGTGGACAGCCTCGTGCATGCCTTTTTAGGCACTGTGCCCGAGACGCTGTTGGAACGAGATTGCTGGTCACAGGCCGCAGCGGGAGCAGCCTCAGATGGTGTTGGCTTCTGAAAGTGGTGGGTTGAACCCATCTCCTAGCTTCTGGGAGCTGGAGCTTTCTCGCTGGCCTGGCTTCTGCTGGCTCTTCCAGGTGCTGTCTTTCACCCCAGGGCGATTTCCCAAATGCCACCTAAGGAGGTTGCCTTTCAGGAGTGTTTAGTCTTTTGATGCAGTTCTTCAAAACTGGCCTTTTTTTTTTTAAAAAAAAAAAAAGATTAAAAAAAAGATTTATTTATTTATGGGGCTGGAGAGACGGCTCAGAGGTTAAGAGCACTGACTGCTCTTCTAAAGGTCCTGAGTTCAATTCCCAGCAACCACATAATGGTTCACAACCATCTATAAAGAGATCTGATGCCCTCTTCTGGTGTGTAGGCAAACATACAGACAGAACACTGCATGCATAATAAATTTTAAAAAGATTTATTTATTTATTTATTTTTGAGACAGGTCTCACTGTGTAGCCCTGGCTGGCCTGAAACTTGGTCTGGAGATCAGGGCTGTAGTTCTGGTTGGTGCAGTGTTTATCTAGAATGTATAGAATCCTGAGAGCTATCCCCAACACCGCAGGGCTCACAGAGATCCATCTGCCTCTGCCTCCCAAGTGCTGGGAATAAAGGCAAACACCACCATCTCTTATCTTTAAAAGGATTCTGCCTTTGTGTATGTGTCTGTGTAGGGATATGTGCAGGTGAGTACGAGACCCCATAGAGGCCAAAAGAAGGCCTCAGAGTCTCTGGAGCAGATGGTTGTGAAGTACACAGTGTGGGCGTGTGTTAGGAACTGAAGTCCCCTGCAGGAATACTACACACTCGTAACTAAAACCTGGGACCTTTGAATGCTAAGCAAGCACTCTGCCCCAAAGCATACCTGCCTCTGACCTTGAAGGTCATTTTGTTGCTGTTTATTTTTTGTGAAGTGGTTGTGCTACGTAGCCCTACTTGCACTTGGTCTGGTACTTACTATGTGAGCTAGACCCAGCTTGTCATTGTATGCAGGATATAAATGGAAGTAGGTATGCTTTATGCTTGTGTGCAAGCATTTATTTTACACTTGATCTTAGTCAAAAGGCTGAGAATTGGTTTTGTTTGTGAGACAAAGTCTGTAGCTCAGGCTGGTCTGGAACTTAGGAATTCTCCTGCCTCAGCTTTTTGAGTGCTGGGATTATAGGTGTGAAACACCACACCTGGATTTGTGGTTATTTATTTTTATTTATTTATATTTTAGATGTGTTTGTTTTATGTGTTTTGCCTGCATACGTATAAGTGAATCCCATGTGCAGTGCTCATGGAGGACAGAAGAGGGAGTTAGGTACCCCGAAACTGGAGTTACAGATGCTTGTTACATATGGGTGCTGGGGATCAAACCCAGGTCCTCTGCAAGAGCAAAAAGTGCTCCTAATGCCGAACCATCTCTTTAGCTGCCTAAAAATCACATGGAGGTGGTGCACACGCCTTTCATCCCAGCATGCATGAGATAGAGGCAGGAGGTAGATCTCTATGAGTTCAAGGCCAGTCTGGTCTACAGGGTGAGTTCCAGGACAGCCGTGGTTACAAAGAGAAACCTTGAAGCACGTGGGTTCCTCTGCCTTCCCACCTATGATTTTCCAGAACTTGTGATTTACTTTAAGGTCAAATCTCAGTACTCCTGGCTCTAGGGTGTATCTGCCCTCCCCACACACCTGCTGTCTGTACCTTTGTCACTTTGTGACTCTAGAGTGTGTCTGTCCCCCCGCCCATGCCTGCTGTCTGGTCCTTTGTCAGACTTTTGTACTGACCTTTTCGTTTAGTTCCTTGAATGCATCAGATTGTTCCCCCATGCTTGTGGGCTTGTACCTCTTGCTCTCTCTGGCTGGAATACACCTCCCTGGATGGAAACCTGGAATTCTTTGCTGCCCATCTTAGTTCAAATGCCACAGCTTACTGATGGTATTTTTTTTTAAGGTTTGAGTATGAGTGCTCTATCTGCATATATGGCTTTGTGCCAGAAGAGGGTACCAGGTCCCATTAGAGATGGTTGTGAGCCACCATGTGGTTGCTGGAAAATTGAACTCAGGACCTCTGGAAGAGCAGCTGGTGCTCTTTACTGTTGAGCCATTCATTTCTCCAGCCCCGATTAGTGACGTTTTATCTGATGTAGAAACTTTGAAATAAGCAGAAAGAGTTATTTATGGTGTAGGAGGCCCTTCTGTATTTGTGTTACTTTCATTGGTTGAATAAAGAAACTGCCTTGGCCTTTTGATAGGGCCAGGCACTTAGGTGGGCCAAGTAGACAGAACAGAATGCTGGGAGAAGGAAGGCAGACAGAGAACCGCTATGGAGCTGACAGGTCAGACATGCTGAATCTTTCCTGGTAAGCCACGACCTCAAGGTGACATACAGTATTAGAAATTGGTTAAATCAAGATGTGAGAGTTAGCCAATAAGAGGCTAGAGATAATGGGCCAGGTAGTAATTTAATTAATACAGTTTCTGTGTGGTTATTTCAGGGGTTAAGCTAGCTGGGTGGCAGGACATGGCCTGCTCCTTCTTATAACATATTGATTTGTTTTTAACATTGATTTATGTCATTGATTGGTTATTGGTATTTTAACATTGATGTACATGCTCATATACCCATGTGCTACTGCACACATGGGGAGTCAGAGACAATTTTGTGGAGTTGGTTCTCTCCTTCCTCCACGTGGGTTCCAGGGATCCCACTCCGCTTATCTGGCTTGGTGGCGAGCGCTCACCTCCCCTCCCCCCATGAGCCAGCTCACAGAACTGAGTTTTTAACAATTGCAGGCTATGTCCATTGGAAGCGGCATGTTTAGTGTTGACATTTTCTCTCTCTGACTCCTACATTCCTTATCTTAGTTTGTGATGCTTTGTTATTATTTTATTATTAATTACTTACGTGTTACATATGTGTATACATGTGTGCATATACCTTGTCAAGGAAGGCATGCATGTACAAGAGTGTGTATGGAGGTGCATGTGTGCACTTGTGTTTGGGGGGGGCTAGAGGTAGACACTGAGTTCTTCCTTTGTTGTCTTTATTGTGCTCCACATTATTTTATTTTATTTTTTATTTTTTTACATTATTTTATTTATTTGTACTTTTTTGTTTTGTTTTTTACTTTTTTCTTTGAGACAAGGTCTCTCTACATAGTAGCCCTGGCTGTCCTGGAACTCTCTCTGTAGACCAGGCTTACCTTGAACTCACAGAGCTCCCCCTGCCCGTGGCTCTGAGTGCTGGGATTAAAGGTATGCATCACAACTACTGGCTTGCTTGCTTATTTATTTATTTATTTATTTATTTATTTATTTATTTATTTATCTATTTATTCTCCATCTCCTCATTGTTTCATTATTGCTATTATTATTATAACTATCTTATGAGTGTTTTGAGACAGGGTCTCTCTACGTAGCTCTGGCTGGACTGGAACTCACTGTGTAGACCAGGCTGACCTTGAACTCACAGAGGTCCACCTGCTTCTGACTCCCAGTTCTGGGATTAAAGATGTGACCACCATGCCCTTCACCTTTTTTTTTTTCTGACTCTGATTTATTTGATCTATTCATACCTGCAGATGACACAATCTTCTAATCTTCTTATTCATTAGGCTGAGAAACAATGAATTATTCTATTGTTTGCAAATACAAATTTTCTTTATTCATTCCTTGGTTGAGGCTATCCATAACTTGCGAACTGTGAATATAGGCATTTAGGGATTTCTGTTATACTACCTTCTTCTTTTTTTTTTTTTATTTCTGAAACAGGATTTCACAAAGTAGCTTTGGAGCTTGTCCTAGAACTTGCTCTGTAGACCAGGCTGGCCTTGAACTCAGAGATTCATCTGCCTCTCCCGAGTGCTGGGATTTAAGGCATACACCACCACCACCTGTTATTTTAAGACAAGTTCTCTCACTGAACCTGGGACTCACCAGTCCAGACAGATTAGCTGGCCAGGGAGCCCATAGGAATCACATGACTCTGCTCTCCCGCCCCCAGTGCCAGGATCCCAGGAGTGCATCACCCGGGTTGGCTTTTTACATGGACACTAGGAATCGAAACTCAAGTTCTCATGCTTGCCTGGCAGGCACTTAACCAATGGAGCTGACTGTCCAAACCCTCGTGGAGCCTTAAGCTGTGGACGGCCCTGGGGCCTGCGAAGGATTCTTGTCAGGGACTGGCGCATGTGACCAGGGCTCTTTTTATTCAGAAATTCTGCCTCCCATGGACTGAGCTGGTTTCCAGTCTATTTCCAAATTCCTTCCAACATCCTGGATCTAGAAAATATATCTGTTCTTTTTTTTCTCTCTCTCCTTTGAACTGGCTGTAAATCTGCAAGGTTTCCTCATCAATAATTATTTAATAAAAATTTTAATACAGATTCATTTTTAAAAATCTGTATGAGCCGGGCGATGGTGGCGCACTTCTTTTAATCCCAGCACTCGGGAGGCAGAGGCAGGTGGATCTCTGTGAGTAGGAGGCCAGCCTGGTCTACAGAGTGAGTTCCAGGACAGCCAGGGCTACACAGAGAAACCCTGTCTCGTAAAACAAAAAAACAAAATCAAAACAAAATCTGTATGAGAACAACAATGTTGCCTTTTTGGAAATTATCTTTTTACATTGACCTTCCAGGAACACCCCCCCCTCCACCCCTCCCCTACCCTCACCCCCACCCCCCGCTTTCTGAGTCTCGTCCCTGTTTCTGCTTCAGTGCTTGCTTTGGGAGATCCCTCTATTCACTTTTTTCTTTGCCTTTGCTGCTTGGTCCCTGTCCTGGCTGCTGCCCATGGTAGGCATGCAAACAATATATCTCTGGGGCTAGGGTGTAACTCAGTGGTATTGTGCTTGCTTAGCATTCTAATGGCCCGGATTTGACCCCTAACAGGGCAAAAATAAAAAAATTATAAAATCTATAGACGCATAAATATAATTGACTGAATGAAGTGTAGCTGAGATACTGTGCACCTGTGACCTGGGCACATGGTAGGCAAAGACAGGAGGATTACAAGTTAGAGGCCAGTCTGGGCTAGATGGTGAGGTTAAGGTAGCCTGGGCTACATGGTGGAAACTTGTCCTAAAACACAACATGACAAAACAGTAATAAAAAGTAAAAGAAAACCAAACCAAAGATGAGATCTAATTGCCAGAGTGAAGGAAGTCAGGCTCGGCAGCCCTGCTGGGCTGGGCACCCGCTCCACACCCTCCTCCCTCCCTCACAGGGCCGTCTGGCTGGCTTGTATTCAGCCTGCTGTGTTCCCATGGATCCTCCCCTTCGGGTCAAACAAGGACAGGCCTCGCCCGGCACACGGAGCTCTGACAGGTAAATCAGTCATGCTTTTCTGGTTCACACCAGCTTCAGGCGGTTCCCCTCTTCTCAGACTGATAACCTGCCTGCCTGCTGTGGTTACGTGGAAGTCAGAAGCGTTCGTAGCCAGCACTCTAGCCTGGACGGCAGACCCCTCTGCCAACTAGCACTGGCCGAGTGCTTGGGTTCCCAGGAATGGCTGAAGTCAGAGCCCGGGCTCCCTCTCACTGAGGAAGCTCTTGTTTTGAAATAGCCGTCACAGGCTCACGTGCCAGGCTTGGCATGCAGTCTTGGGGTTCACTAATTTGTTTGTTTTGCTGTTTTGACCTTTGTTGTTTGTTTGGATATAGGTTCTCAATATATAGCCTTGGCCGGCCTGGAACTCATTATATAGACTAGGCTGGCTTTGAATGCATTGATTTGCCTCTCAAGTGCTGGGATTAAAGGTGTGTACCACCACACAGGGAAATCTAACTTATTTTTACATTAGAGTCCGGAAGGGCGAGGGACTTGTCTTCTCCCCAGCAATGAGTAGGAGAGCCCCGACTTCAGCCAGACAGCAGAACCCTGGGGCCTCCACCGTCAGCCCCTCGCCACACAGAAGACATTACAAGAGAAATAGATATTTGTTGAGCATTCATCCCAGGCCAAGCCCTATGTTGTGGCCCTCTCCCACACTTCCTGCTGATTTTTTAAAGAAATAACTTCTAATTTTATTCACTATTGTTAGTGTACATGTGTGTATATATGGGTGTGGGGGGGCACCTGTGCCATGGCATACTTAGGGGACAATTTTATGGAGTTGGTTCTCTCCTTCCCTCTTTATATGGTACCCTGGTGTGTGTGTGTGTGTGTGTGTGTGTGTGTGTTTGTGTGTGTGTGTGTGTGTGTATACATATATGTGAACCTGAGACAAACTAAAGTTATCTGAGAAGATGAACCTCAATTGAGAAAATGCCTCCATCAGAATGCCCACAGGCAAATCTGTGAGGCATTTTCTCTCCCTCCCTCCTCCCTACCCCTCCTTCCCCCCTCCTTTCCTTCCCTTTCGTTTTAGATTTATTTTCTTTCTTTCTTTCTTTCTTTCTTTCTTTCTTTCTTTCTTTCTTT